TGTGAGAGAGCTACCACACTCCTCCCAACCGGGCCGGGGAACCTACAACCCAGGTACGTGCCTGGGACCAGAATCGAATCCAAGACCCTTCGGTTTGCAGGCTGATGCTCTAACCACTTACCCACATCAGCCAGGGCTAAGCATGTATTTTAATGACCATTTAATACCCATTATATATTTAAAGGCTTTCCCCATGATTTTGGTTCAAATAAACCTGTACAGAAGGAACCCATTTCATTTATTGCTGTCATTAGTCAAAGCAGAAACCCTCAATTAGCTTTACGCAAAACTTGTAAACAGAGACCCAAGTAGCAAATGTTCTCACTGACTTATGAACCACAACTGGCTCATATGCCACCAACGCACACTCAAAGCAGCGGCTCACAGCCCACAGAACAGCTGAACCACTTCGGGAGCCTTTAATAATTACCAATGAGGCCCTGGCCGGTGATTCAGTGGTTAGCGCATCATCCCTGCACATCGACGTTGTCTCAGGTTAAATTCCCGGTCAAGGGCAGGGAGCTGGGTACAGATTTAATCCCCCACCCCCAGGGCACATGTGGGAGGCAACCAATCAATGTGTGTCTCTCACATTCATGTTTCTCTTTCTCTCTCCCTCCCTCCCCTACCCTCCCTTCCACTCCCTCTAAAATCAATGGAAAAATATCCTCAGGTGAGAACTAACAAAAATAAATAAAATAAAAATAAAAACGACCAATGTTTGAACCTTACCCCAAACCAAGTCGATCTGAACCACCAAAGGTGTGGCCCAGGCATCCCTACGTTAAAGCTCCCCCGGTGATCCTAGCACCCACAGCTCTAGAATATTCAGGATAGGTACAGTAAGTCCTCACTTGAGGTCATCAATAGGTTCTGTGACTTTAAGGGAACCAATATACATGCAACCAATTTTATCATAAACTAATTGATATAAACAAGAGTTAAGTTCGTATGGCATCGCATCAGCATTATAACAAAAGATGTTGAACAAAATGATGTTCGAGGACCTGCTGTAATTCCCCCGCCATTTACTGAGCACACGGATGGGGCCAATACAGGGCTAGCCACGGTGAGAAGCCAGGCAGTGGCCACAGTGGCCTTCCTGGGAGGAGGAGGGCCCGGCCACACCAAGGTGACCCACTGCTCCAGTGCCGGAGACCGAGTGGCTGCCCGGGACACGGGACTTTCAGGGTTAACCCAGGACAGTCGGAGGCAAACCGGGTGCTCATCCTTCATCCGCAGAGACACTGAGCTCTCCTAGCACGTCAGTGTCTGCCTCCCCAGACCAGGGTCTGCCAACTTGCAGGCTGGGCTTCCTCAAAGAGGAAAGAAAATCAGTGAGATCCAGCCCTGAGCACAGAACAGAGTCCAATGGTGCTGACTCCCTGGTGAGAACCAGGAAATGGGTCCACAGAGGCCACACAGCCAGACCAGGCCGAGGGGGTGCGGAAATGGAGCCCAGGGCAGCTATGCGTCTCAAGATGTCTGGCATCTCTGTGACTCCACCAGCATTTATATGTCTTTTCATTCATCATGACTGCTTCTCTGTTAAGAACAATAAACACCCTCGGGAAACCCAGAGAGGGGTTGGGGCTTCCCCGGAGGACAGCGCAGAGTGACAGGCACTGATCTAGCACAGTGGTCGGCAAACTCATTAGTCAACAGAGCCAAATATCAACAGTACAACGACTGAAATTTCTTTTGAGAGCCAAACTTTTTAAACTTAAACTATATAAGTAGGTACATTGTTATTAACTTAATTAGGGTACTCCTAAGACTTAGGAAGAGCCACATTCAAGGGGCCAAAGAGCCGCATGTGGCTCACGAGCCGCAGTTTGCCGACCACGGATAGCGGATTCCGGGAGTGAGGACGCCAGGCCAACGGGAGGCAGGGCGAGAGGGGAGGGGCAGCCCCTCCATCCATTCCCCCACCCCACCCCCCCACCCCCCCACCCCCGCCCCCGGGGGAGCTGATGCTGATGAGGCCCAGCGGGTCCCCACCGGCCCAGGCCTTCGGTCCCGGGGAAGGCCCCACACTCACTCTGCGGTAAGTCCTCGGCCCTGAAGATCTTCAGGCAGAAGTGCGCCCCTCGGAGGGCCACGCCGGTCGGCCGGAGCAGGTTGCCTTCGATGTCCTCCTTGTCTTCTGAGGGGTCCTTTCTCTCCAGCTACAACGCAAACCAAATGTGATTCCTGACTCAACGACGTTTTCCCTTCCTCAACCAACACGGGCGAAAGGGTGCGTTCTGAAGAGAGGCAGGCCGCACCCGGCCGCTCACCAGCGCGGACCCCAGGCAGGTTCCTCACCTGGGCTCGCTCCTCCTCGGGGCAGTGGAGACAATAACAAGAAAAGAGACCAGGAAGAGAAGGTGGGACCAGGTGGCAGAGGACACGGCACAGGGCCCAGCAGGGGGGAGAGCGGGGAATGGCAGGAGACAGTGGAGATGGAAGGGAGCAGAGGGAGGGTCGGTCAGCAGCCAGGGCTCTCACACTGTGCCGCTCTGACTCCCCGAGGGAGGCTGAGGGTGGAGCTCAGGAGAGAGACACGTTTTAGAAACAGCTGCGGTGGGGAATGAGATAAGGAATAAACTGCACCCCGTGGCAGCACCCGTGGCAACCAGCACCTCCGGGTGACTTTCTGCCACCAAAACTGACCACAGAGTGG